GGAGAAATGCCACCACAAAAAGCTATTTGCAGGGCACCTTCTAGCTGTGCCAGAAACCAGTGCAGATTTCGGCAAAGCGGAGTGTCCTCAAAGCAGCTCTCTAAGGGCTCCTCTGGCTGCTGCCCGGGCCACTGTAGCACCCTGGGGTTGGGGGGCTGGAGAGGAGCCTGCCACAGCCCAGCTTCCCACCCCACAGCCTGCACTGCAAGCTCCCATTGCGCCGAGGAATGGCGGCCCTTGCAGATCACTCCCAGGTCCTGCCGGGCCAGCTGGAGGACTTGGGCGCGATCAATCTTACCCCTGAACTAAATGCGACGTTTGTTTATGGCCAGGTGGGAAAGGCATTTTTAATGGCTTTTTGTGCAGCAGCCATGAAATACGCCCAAGACGAATGCCAGGACAAGGTCCCTACCTCTGGCTGAATCACCGGCTGGTCGGTGGGTAGGTCTTGGGGTACTGGGGAGCCCTGAGATGCATGAGGCAGGGAAAGAAGGAAGCAGCTCCAGAGGGGAGCTGTGAGTGCCTGGGGCGCCGGACCAAGCATGACACCTCCCAGGTCAGGCAACCCGAAGCAACAAAAGGTGTGGGGGTACAGGGTGGTCCTCTGCTGTTGTACCAGTTCAAAACGAAAATAACAGACTTAATAATGGCCTCTGGAGCGTCAGCTGGATGGGAGAGAAATTTCTAAACTCTCAATCTGACCTCTCAGGGCTCCAGGGGCAGCCCCACAAAGGGCACAGCTAAGGGCTCTTGTTTGCTGAGGCTGGCGGTAAGCAGCCTGGCACAGTTTAGCTTTAGTCCTCGGCAGGCAAAAACCCATTCTCCGCAACGCAACTGCAAGGTGCGTGATGGATCGGCCAACGCACGCCTGTCTGCGCGCCGCTGTCGGCTTGAGAAGGACAAACCCACCAACTGCAAGATTTGAAACAGCAGGCACCAAACACCAGGCCGGCATTTGTATGTGCCTGGCATCAACTGCGGAGAAAATTAAATATGCCCCTTTGACATACGGGACAAAATAGTTATTATCCCACAGCTTGCTGCAGACATTTTCAAATTTAGCCAATCACCACCCCACCACCACCCTGGGCTCCTAGCCGGCTCTCATGGGCTAATTCAAAATGTCCCGGCTATTAGTTCAAATATCACAGAGTCTTTCCATATGAGAGTGCACGTTATCCTTATTGCAAAAGGAAAGAGAGGGGGGACAAATCAAACTCGCAAACCACCAAGGAATGAGCAGTTGCAAGTTCCAGAAGGAAGATAGCAACTGCATTTTCTGAAGCTGGGAATCCAACAGCAAGGGTATGAAGAACAGGACCTCATCCGGGCTTCGGAAAATCAGAGAGAACCAGGCTTCTCGTGCCAACGCCAACGCAGCTTCTGAAACTATCCCGCAGGCCACTCAAGGCAGAAACCCCAGCTCGCTGCGCACAGGACACAAACACACGGATTTAACATGCCTCATTCTCAAACACTCCAGCCGCAGAGGGTCTGGCCCAAGGAAACAAACGCTTCCAGGGGCTCCTGGCGCAGTACTGCAGCCAGCTCGGCACTCCCCCATGGTCCCCTCTCACGCTCTGTGGCTGGGGTTTGGGGGGGGACAGAAAGCCCTCTTTTGCATCTTGGCGCTCCTAAAGGACTCTAAGTGGGGAGCGTCCGGCTCATCCCCAGCACGCCCCCTTACTGGGCTCTGCAGCAGCAGCAGCAGCAGTGGTCTCTCGCACCCGCGGCCCCAAGGCGCTTGCATACAGCTCCAGGCCTCACTGCTAGGGTCACCCCAACCCTGAACCAGCTGCACAGCACCAAAATGTCTCGGGGAGACATAGCCTATCTGGAAGCCGGTGGAGCTAACCAAGGATGGAGCGGGCCTAGCTCTGGGCTATTTGCGCCCGCCAACTTAGACCTGAGGCAGCATCAGGCTCTAACGGGCATACTGCCCCCCGCAAACGCTGGAGCCCCACCGCGCTCCCAAACGCCTGAAGCGTGCATTAAGCAGTGCACGGCCCCTGCCCAAGTGATTTGTGGCCTCTGTAAAGACGACCTCACACGCCGCACAGGGACGAAGCCCAGTCGGAGAGGCCACCGCCCTGGACCCCCCACCCGGGCTGGGCCTAGGTCTCTCTGGTGCGACCGGCCAAGGCCGCAGGGCAGACGGGCTGCGGGGTGGTCCCGCGGCCACCGAGTTCCCGGCCCGCGCCCAGCCATGGCTGAGGGGTGCACTGTCACCCGGTGAGCAATGAGGTGCCTGTGACCTTTCCACCCCTCCCGGTATCCTCAGGCACACGTGCGTCTTCAAAACAAAGACAGCAGAGCGAGGAGGAGGAGGAAATGGAAGCGCGGTGGGGCCCGGCTGGGCCAGACGAGTGGCGGGAGTGAGGGCTGGGCGCGGGCTCCCACGGGGCGCGTCCCCCGGCTCGGCTGGGCGGCCCCACGCCCAAGTCCCCCGCGCGCACTCGGCGGCCTGCAGCGCTGCGCACCCTGCCCGGCACACCTGAAACCCATCGGTTAGGAGCCCGTCCCGCCTAACAGGAGTCTCCTTTGAGCCCCCGGGCCAAACCAACCAGTGTTTTCGAAGAGTGGAGGGAGAGGAGGCCGCCGAGACGCGAGCAGGAACCCCGGCTAGAGCCGGAGGCGGCTGGGCGCCGGCGGGCGCGGGGGAGGCGGGGGCGCCCCACGCACCGGGAGCCGGGCGGGCCGCGGCGGGTCATTACAGCTAATTAGCTGCGGAGCGTTCCCAACCGGGAGCCGCGCCGCGAGCAGGTTCGCGTCGGGAGCTGTGCGCGCTTCCGAGGGCCGCGGGTCCCGCAGGGAAGCCGGGGACCAGCCAAGCCACTTCCCACCCCACCCAGCAGAGTCGAGCACCCTACCGTCTCCGGCCGGGAGCTGCCAGACCTCGGGATGGGTCGCTGCGGGCTCGTGGGGCACCTGCTACCGCTGTCCTTCCGGAGGTGGCACGGGGGAGCGCTCAGGTCGGCCTGGCTTCTCTGGCCACCAGGTCCCTTTTGTCCACTGCGGTCCCTGCACCTAGCTGTCTCGCTAAACAGGAGCAAAGCACCGACTCCACTCGACGCGTGCCCGTGGGTTTTTTTTTGTCCTTCACCGAGGAAGCTCCAGGCAGAACCCCTTTCCCTCGTGGCAAGACCTAGGGTAGCCCCCAGGCCTGCGACTTTGGTCAACGCAGCCGAGCGGCCCGGGCCCGCGCCGGCCTGACCCGAAGCAGGCGCCCGCGCCGCGGCGGGATCTTCTCCGGCTATTAGGTTACGACTCTGGGGGAGGGGGCCGAGCGAATCAGAGGCCACGGAAAGCAGGTTTTGACTGAAATTAGAGCGTATTTATTTGCAGCAATCCGTTAACAATGATCAGATTTTGACAAGCAACAGCAATTACTGCTTAAGTGTTGCCTCCAGATAGGAGCGGCAGATAGGAAACTGTATTATCTGGAAAACAAACGGTGAGGCCCTGAACGCCTGTAATCAAATCGCCATCTCCCCCAATCTGATTGACAGGGCAGATCACCCTCAGATAATGAATTTATTACATTTCCTGGGTTATTTACAAAAAAAAGGGGAGGGGGGTGGAAGGGCCAATCCGGATTGCCCCCTAAGTTTAACTGTAAATTAACAAGGCAAAATTGGCTTGGAAAGAAAGGAAAAAAAAAAAAAAAAAAGAAAGAAAAAAAGGTACAAAGCACCCTAGGCTGTCAGGTTCCATCTTAGCTCCAGCCTCGTTACTTCTTTAAATCTTCAACTTCAATAAAAATAATTGTTTAGAACGTATCTTCTAAAATAGCTTCCCAGAGATTAAATATCCTTTCTCAACCCATAGTATATATATATTTTTATAAAAAAATCAATCCTTCTATGTGATACATGAAGGATTATAAAAGTGGATGACTTATATACATGCATTTAAAAAACTGGTTTACTTTTTCTCTTACAAAAGACTCCAATGAATAACAAAAAAGAAAGGTTTGTGGCATCTGGCTGTAGAAGGCACTTGGTGATTGCGTCGTCGGGAACACGCAAGCCCATCGCGCCCTGGGTGTGTGCTGCACACACAGGTATATTTATTACAATGGCTTGAAATTCCCACAGCGTGTTCTGTCTCTACCGGGAAAATCTATTTCTGCCAACTCAGATATGTTTAGGAAATTATCGTTTTCCTGGCCACAAAAAGCAAGCTGACTATAGATTACATTTTGCTAAAGATGCTGCAGAAAAAAATTAAGCAAAAAGGCTTTCCATGAGATTTGACAAGGACTAATTAGAGGACTTTTTTCTTTTTTTTTTTTCTTTTTTTGGTCAGAGACTTAGGTGCAGAATAGATAACTCCTAGTATTTTCTCTCTGCAATATTTCTATCATAATAATGAAGCTATATTAAAGTATCCAGACGTATGGGTCTCATTAGAACTGAATGGTGATTTATTAATAAACAAACAATGAATATGTTCAACAAAAAAACAAAAGATAAAATAAGATTAATACAGTTTCCCTTTTTATATAATGAGAAGAATAAAGGCACAATTTAAAGTTTCAGGCAATCTCAGGGCAGGTTTTTTTGGAAACACATGGGTGGTGTTTGGTCCACGACAAATTAAAAAATAAATTACTATGTTGCAATTTACATTTTAACACAAGTCCTTGCATAAAAAGAAAGCGATTTGCATAAATGGGGTGTCTCCCCCTTCCTACCAACAGGGAAATCCAAGAAAAGATATCTTACAAGGGGAGAAGGGAAGGGCCGGGCAAGGGAGTGGAAGAAGCGTTGGAGCGTGCGCCTCACGCTTAGGAGTCGGGAGAGACTTACGTGTCATCTGGAGTTAACACTGTCCTTTACCAACCCATGATTGTGCGCTCGGGGCACAAAAGAGCTCCCGGTTTTTTGGTTTTTTTTTTTTTTTTTTTTTTTTTTTAGTTTATTTTGATAAGGCACAGTGGAGGTGGCTCCGCACGTTCACCTTCTTAAGAAAATAGTTCTTTTCCCTTCCTGGGTGCTGGCGAGTGGAATTTGCTGGTGTTCGTCGCTGGTGAAGTGTTTCTTAACTTTGGGCTATTGCTTTTTTTTTTTTTAGTTTCGATTTTGCATTGGATGGGTTCTCGGGCGGCCGGGCCTTCTGTCTCTTTGGGGTTTGATGCAGTTCAGCTCTGGGGGCGGCGTGACCCGGGGCTGAGCTTGCGAGGGGACAGGGCGGGGGCGCAGTCGGGGTGCTGGGGAACCTCAAAACTTGCTACAGTCATAGACGAACGCCCCCGACGTGCGGTACAGCGACTGGCTGGAGGGGAAAGCCATCTGGCAGCTACTGTTGCCGTTCACCGGCGAGTTGTTCAAGCCCAGCCGCTGCGACTCGAATATCTCTCGCACCGAGTGGAAGTTCTGCTGTTGGCCCGGGTAGCCCGCGGCGGCCGCCGCTGCTGCGGCGCTCGCCAGGTGGCCCAGGTCTCCGCCCGCTTGGTTCAGGTACCACGAGGTGAGGCGGCCTTGGTGCGCCGCGGGGTGATGGTGGCCAGCCTCCTGGCCGCCCCCGCCGTGGCTCAGGGAAGACGACGCGCTGCTAGTGACCGGAGGCAGGGAGTAATCGGGCAGGGGGTCGTCCACCGAGCCGCCCGCGCCCCCGGGTGCTCCCTGCAGGTGGCCGCCGCGCTCGCCAGCCGCGTACAGGCTCATGGCCTGCAGGTTGCAGTGGTAGGTCCCCGCGCCGCCGCCGCCCCCCGCACCGCCCGCGGTCCCCGCACCGCCGCCACCGCCGCCACCGCCTCCACCGCCGCCGCCTCCACCGCCTGCGCCCCCGGCGGAGCCGCCCGCGCCCGAGCTCTGGCTGCAGGGGGAGCCGTAGAGGGAGCTCTGGGCCGGCGAGTAGGCGCCGAGCGGCAGCGGGGGTGCGAGGCCCGCGCGCGAAGACGCAGCCGCCGCCGCCGCCGCCGCCGCCGCGGCCAGCAGGCCGGAGCCCAGCTCGGCGGCCGCGCCCTGCGGAGACCCCCGCAGCGACGTCATGATGTTGTCCACGCTGAAGCCCTGGCTGTGGTGCGGGGGCTGCTGCTGCTGCTGCGGCGGCGGCGGCGGCGCGGGCTGCTGCGCCGAGGGCGGCGGGGGCTCGGCAGCGTCCAGGCTCAGCGGCCGCGCGGCCGCCCCCAGGCTGCCCGGGGGGCTGCTCCCGCTCGACAGCGAGCTGCTACTGCTGTCGGGGCTCTCGATTTTGGGCACCGCGGACGCGGCGGCGGCCGGGGACAGGGCCTGGGGCGGCGAGGGGCACGTACCGTTCTCGGTCTTGATGTCCTGGATGCGCACGGGCGGCGGCTGCGGTCCAGGGGCGGCGCCGTCCGGCTGCTCCGGCGGCCCCGGTGCGGGCTGGCGGCCCGGCTGAGACGGCGGCGGCGGGGGCGGTGGTGCTGGCGGGTCCTTGAGGTGCAGCCGGTCCTTCTCCTCCTTGTCCTTCACCGCGTCCTTCTTCTTGAAGCGCCGCCGCCGCCGCAGGAAGCTGCCGTTCTCGAACATGTTGTACGAGTCCGGGTCCAGCGTCCAGTAGCTGCCCTTGCCGGGCTTCTTGTCGTCGCGGGGCACTTTGACGAAGCACTCGTTGAGCGAGAGGTTGTGGCGGATGCTGTTCTGCCAGCCCTGCTTATTGTCCCGGTAGAAGGGGAAGCGGTCCATGATGAACTGGTAGATGCCGTTCAGGGTGATCTTCTTGTCCGGGGCGTTCTGGATGGCCATGGTGATGAGCGCGATGTAGCTGTAGGGCGGCTTCACCATGTCCTTGGGCTGCGGCTGCGGCGTGTAGGGCCCGTAGGCGCGTGCCATGCCGCCCGGGTACTGCTCGGCGTGCGCCGGGTGCGAGTACACGCTCATGGGGGCCGGCATGGCGCTGTAGCCGCCCCCGGCCGCCGCGGCCGCCGCGCGGTAGTAGCTCTGCTCGCCGCCGAGGTAGGGCACCACTCCCAGGGAGTTGGGGCTGGACACGGAGTAGCGCGCCTGCATGGCCCCGGCTCGCCGCCGCACGCTGCCACCACCCGCCCCTCCACGCTCGCTCGGGCCGGGCCGCGCCGCCCGAGTGCGAGTCCGGAGCCCCCGCCGCGCTGCTGCTGCGTCCGGCTCGGCCGGCCGCCTGCTTCGCCTTGCCTTGCCTTCCTCGCCCGGCCTGCTGGCCTGCGTGCGCCGCCGGCCCGGCGCGGCCTCTCCCTCTGCGCTCGCTCGGGACGGGGCGTGGGGGTGGGGAGGGCCACCCTCGGCACCCGCGCTGGTCACTGGAGAGACGACGACGACGACGCGGGCTAGCAGCAGCAGCAGCAGCAGCAACAGCCTCGGAGGAACTCGCTGAGCAACTTCCAGGCGCCAACGAGGGGGGGGAAAAAAAAGAGAGAGCCGAAGGGGGAAAAAAAAAAAGATCGAAAACTCAAAAGCCAGCAGGCGCCCTTCTCGCCACTCTGCCGGCGCTTTCCAAAGAGACTCTGTCCCGAGCTGCCGGGCGCAGGCGGCCAAATAACCCAGGGGCGGGCGGGGTGGGGGCGCAGCGCGCCGGCCGCCTTCCCGGGCCCCGCGTCACCTTTTTTCAGTCTTTCGCGCGCCGACCGCTTAAGGAAGCATTGGGAAAACTTCTGAACTTTTGAGCATCCGTCACCCAGGCGAGGACTTTTTTACGCAGTTACATTTTTTTTTTCCGGCCAGCGCAGCCCCGCCCCGCGACGGCGGCCGCAACCAATAGCAGGGCGAGAACCGCCTCCGAAGGAGCCGGAGGCCGAGCCCGGCCGGCCCCCCGCGCCCCGCCGCGGCCCGAGGACCGCGGGGCTGACCACACGCGCGCCGGCCGCCCCTGCGCCCCGCGCCCCTGCCCGCGCCCGGCCCGAGGCGCAGCCGGCCGGCTCCCTCCCAGCCCACCTCACTCCCGGCACCCACCCGCGCGCCAGCCGGCCGCTCTACCCGGCGCCCCGCACCGGCCTCCCATTGTTTGCGCAGACTTCCTGGGTCTTCCTGACCTCCGCGCAGACCCTTCCCCGCGGCGTGGCTTCCCCGACGGCCACCGAGTCCTCCAGCGCGTCTGGGGTCCTCGAGCCCGCCCGCTCACTTGCTGGCGCCTCTGTCCCGATCCGACCGGCGCCCGCCGGGGTTTCCCGGGCACTCTCCTCCGCTCGGCGGGTCCAGTCTCTAAGTCTCTTCCGAGGCCACCGGTGGCTCCGGCCGTGCCCTACCTGGAGAGGGTACAAAGGGCCCGGTTGCGTGCGCTCGAGCCACAGCCCTGCTGTTTCCGTTGGGGTGGAAGCTGTTCTCGCCTCTCCTCTCCCCCTTTCCTGACACTTGCCCAGCCGAAATAAGGGACGGACATCCAGAACCCCCTCCGCAGCTCCGGAGGGTGCGGGGTCCCAGCGACGGCTCGGCCCGCCCGGGTCCCCCTCGGCCTCCGAGTCCCGAGGGTGTGGGCGGCCGCAGGGTGCGGGAGCCCAGCGCCTTCCCGCCAGGCAGGTGAGGGGTTCCCTGCTGCGCACCGCCCCCCTCTGGTCCGCGCGCCACGTTTCGGCTCAGAGGAGGGGTCAGGCTGCGCGCTGTGTGACACTGGTAAATCTGATGGCCAAAAGTGAACCACACAGAACATCAGTTCGTCCAAGAGTGTGAATGCTTCTCCGAATCCACTCTGGCCGGGCCCACGCGTGCGGAGCTGCGGTCACGGGGATAACGGGGAGATCTCGGAGGGGCCTTGTTTACCATCCCACCTGCAGTGTGGCCCGGGGCTTCTGAGGCTCTGGGAGCTGGGAGACCTCGGGATGGTAAGGACAAAAGCCGCTGAGGGCGAAGTAAAACCAAGGCGCGGGGAAGGACCGGACTTCTGCCGCCCTGGGCGACTCCGAGGTTAAGGAAGCCACCCCGGGAACCGGAACCCAAGGCCCTTGATCCCAGCTCCGGGAACAGCACTTGGCCTTTGCCCTCCTGATTTCTGGGCAGTTTTTCGCCCTGGGACTGCGATGGTCCTGCCGTGGGGGGCTTCTTTGGGCTTTCTTGTTTGGGCACGGAAATTGTAATCGCAGCTTCACGTATAAGACATAAATGAGCAAGAGGAAAGCAGGCGTTGAATCTTTTAGGGAAAAAAAATGCCCTGCAAATTTTAATTGTCAAATGAAAACTGGGGGTAGGAAAGGGGAGGGAACCTGGGGGGAGAGGTGGTAGTCCCGGCGTTGCAGCAGAGTTCAGGATCACCAGGCCACAGCCTGCCCTGGGGCTGCCGGCTGCCGGTGAACTCTGGCATATGCTTCGGCCACACGCAAGGCCAAGTCCCTGACGCCAGATCTGTGGGCCAGGAGAGACCCTGAGGTGTCCAGGGGACTGTGGAGACTTTGGCAAACGAATCCGTCTCTAACCCCTGGACCCTGCACCCTGACAGTTTTCGAACCGGGTTTGATGAATTCGTCAGGCGAAGAGCTCGCAGACCGTGGGGGAATGCCTGCCTGCGGCCCCTTGCTTCCCTCTGGCTTGGCCGCCCTGTCTCCTCCCACCCAGGCCAGTCCCCCAAGCCCACCATCTTCGGGCCTCCCCTCCCCATCTCCCAGTATCAGCCCCTCGAAAAGGCTGTTAGGTAAATTGTAAATCCGACAGCTCCGCGCCGCTTTGGAAATGAAAACGTTACCCCCGTGAAGTTAGTAACCCGGCTTTGCGGAAAAATAAATGGAGAGATGCAATGCCTTCTCGCCTGGACATTGGCCAGGAAAAGATATTTGCGTTTGTGTGTTAAGAGCCGCCCCGGGAGCCGGCCCCGCAGCGAACGGTGCGGTTGGCTTTCCAGCTCTTCTTCGCTGCTGGTGACATGTGAACGGACCGAGACACAAGCTGTCTTTGGTAGGGAAAGCAGGTTCAACTTTAATTTGCAAATTCAAAATTCTGATGTCCCTGCTGCTGCTCCCGAGAGGAGGCTCAGCCACCCGTGTCCCTCCCGCTTTCCACAGGCTTTGCGCGCGGGGACCCCTTGGGCTGCTGCCTTAACCTCCGGCTCAGCTCGTTCGCCTCCCGAAGGCCCCGCCGGTGACAGCACTCCATGGATGCTGGGTGGGACCTGGGGGTCGGCCCGCACTCCCTGCATCCCCTCCGTGACCCTGCAGACAGGGTGGCCAAGCCCGGGCCCACCCAGGGGGCTCTCAGCTCGGAGGAAGGGCCGTGACGTCACCACGAGGTTTGAAAAAGACGGGCCTCCCGGGGCCCCTCTGGGAGAAATAACGCGCCAGGAAGTGGGGGAGATGTAGCATGAGCCAGGAAAGCCGCGGGTAGGGCGAACAGGCGACGCCGCGGGAAGACGCGTGTGATGCACCGTGCAGGGAGAGTCCTTTGTCCGGAGCTGGAATCTTCCTCACCTCGTCCCCAAATTATTAGAGGCAGTGGGGACCCCCGATTCCCACGAAAGCCGCTCCGGAAGGGAGGGAGCACAACCCGCGCTGAGCACCTTCCCAGCTCCCCCAGAGAAATTCAGAGAAACTCTGGGGCTGCTCCCTGCGTCGGCGGCACCGCTTGTGCGCCGCTGCCCCTCATCCCGGACGCGGGCCCAGACCCCGCTCCCCGCCCGCGGAGCCTCAGACCCACGGGGCTGCGGGTCTCAGGAAAGGCGACCAGGGTCTTTCCTCTAGCCGTGCGCTGATCCCTGCCCCACGAAGGCAATTGTCCCGACGACGCGACTCGGCCAGCTGCAGCCAAGTCCGTTTGCGGGGTGTCTCTGAACCGTTTGGAGAATCGTCCCGGCCTCCGTTCGTCCTCCTCCGGGAAGCCCAGAGGCCCCGGGCCAGACGGGGCTGTCCTGGTGTCACGCCCCGGTTTTCGTTCCCGAGCCGGCCCTCGGGCTCCCCGGTGGCATTTGTCCTCCGCGTGTCTTCCCGTAGAAGGCGAACGCAGTATAGTAGTAGTGGCTTCGACCCCGGGTCCATCGACTTCCTCTATTCTTGGCTGTGTCGGGGTGAGGGTTACCCATTTTGTTTCTGCAGCCCGGTGGATGGAGCTGGACAAATAATTCCTGCAATAAACGAAAAGAGAGATTGTTTTTCGATTGCGTTACGCCCACGGCGCTCTGCACCGCCGGACGCGCCTTACAACGCACAGAAACCGCTTCTTCATGTCACCCGCCAAGTGCCCCCCACCCCGCCCTCCAGGACAGGGGATAGAATGAGCCACCACCTGCCCGCACTTCACCCCTATCGCTGTGACGGTGAGGGCGCGTTCCGGGGCTGGGCAGCTCAGAGAGCCGCTTAGCAAGGGCCACACAGCCCGTGGGGAGCGAGACTAGGCCCTTGAGGGCTTGCCACAGCAGGCGCGGGGCTTTCTTTCCCAGGCGGAGGGAGCTGAAGATCCCAACGGCCACCCTTGCATGAAAACCCGGGGGTAGAATAAAATGGCTACGGGGATGCGGGGTGGAAAGGGCTGCGTCGTGCGCACTTGGGTGTGCATGCCCTCGGCCGGATTTTCCCCGGTTCAGGCCCTCAGCAGCTCCTGGATGGGGGTCGTGTTTAGGCGGGATGGCGGTCTGGAAGGGCAGAGATCTAGGGCTCCCCAAAGTCTGGGATGTGCGGCACTCAGAGCCGGAGGGTCCTTAGGGTCAGGGAATGCTGGTGGCCCCGTGAGCGTCAGAGGACAGCAGGCCCGGGTTCCTTTCCCACGTGGAGATGGCCATTGCGCATTTCCCTACTCGCTTTTCCCTACGCGCCTTGGCTACCGGGAGGGTGTTGGAAGCAATGACTTTGACCCACAGAGATCCACATACGTAGTGGGCGGGTGGGTGGGGTGGCGGCGGTTTGCCGGCGGCTAATTGCCCCGGGTCGCCAACCCCGCACCGCGGTAAATCCTGGCTGAACTTCCTTATCCAGGAGAGCACCCCCGGCTCCTCTGCGCACGTGGAGGACATGCGATAGCCCACACGGTACCCTTCACTCCAGCCCGGCGATACCGCGCGCTGACGCACGGCTGGGCCTGGGGTGTGTAAAAGAGGCACTCTGGGCCCCGTTGGGAGATTAGCC